ATGTAAAGGTCCACTTTTTGGTCCACTTTTTATGTAAAGGTCCACTTTTTGGTCCACTTTTTATGTAAAGGTCCACTTTTTGGTCCACTTTTTATGTAAAGGTCCACTTTTTGGTCCACTTTTTATGTAAAGGTCCAAGATTTTTCTTGAAAAGACGGACTGGAATCGTAGAAAAACTGCTCCCTTTGGCATTGAATAAAAATTTATCTCTGATTTTTTTCTTGGAAATCCTCTCAAAAATGCACGAAATGCCATTTAAGAAGGTTCATTTTTCACAATTTTCCGGGGGATCATGCCCCCGGACCCCCCTAGGAACCTCGCGCCTTTGGCGCTCGAGGGCCCCTCCAGCAGTGGGAAGAACCCCCCCATTCAAAATCCTGGCTACGGGCATGGTGGTGCAGTTGACTATTGCTTTTCAAACAGGATAAAGAAGATAGGTTAATAACATGGTGTTGTGTTTTCATTGAGTACATTGTGATTTAAACTTTCACTTAACTTTGTTTATTTCACCAGCGATTACAAGTCAGGCCATTTTGGCCTGCTTTTCAGCAAACAATAAATAAAACAATTACTCAGTATAGATCTAACATCGGTAACATTAACTAGGTCATGTTCTTTTCCTAATGAACTGGGTTTATGTTTTACAATATTTACAATCTTTTTACTAGTAACTACTAAATGTAGTTTTACCCACATGCAACTCTATTATACAAGGACTTTAGGAAGAAACAATTCCTGTTGTGTTACATAACCAAGACTTTTTCAATACTCATACTATAATTAATAATTAACGATCAATAATTAATCAATGATTGATAATCTGATATGGCAAAAAGCAAGTCTCATATTCTCTTCGAAACAGCAAAAATCTAAAAGACAATGTATATACACATTTCTTTACAATCACAAAATATGCTTCACTGAAAGAAACATATCATTCGAAAAACCCCTTATTGTTTCCAAGAAACAGATATTACTCCATACTACACAACTATAATACTACAATATATACAACATATACTTCCACATATTCCAATATAATATTGTTTCCAAAAAACAGATATTATATATACATGTACATGTACTACTATAATACTACAATATATACAATATATACTTCCACATATTCTAATACATTATTGTTCCAAGAAACAGGTGTTACTCTATGCTACTACAATACTATAATATATGCAATATTTAGTTCCACATATTCTAATACATTATTGTTTCCAAGAAACAGATATTACTATATTTCTATACATACCATTATATACAATATATACTTCCACAAATGTTTTTGTAAGTCAATGCATTGGCACAAGTTAGAATACAGTAGACACGAATTCAATCACTATTTACAATGAAGAACTCGACTTCAAAGGGAGACAACATTCTCAACGCTGCAATTCTGAAATCCAATATTCAAAGCTGTGTTCCTCTTTCCAGATCAAGTCCGCAGTGTGTTTTTGGCAAAGATTAGCCTAAGAGGCTCGGTGGGCGTCGCTTCACGTACAGGGGAGGGAAGTGTAAAATGCCTTTCCCAAGGGCACAACGTCGGGCCACGGTGAGTATCGAACCCGGGACCTATTGGTCCCGAGTCCAACGCTCTGTTGCGCCTCCGACGCCACTACTGGTTATGGCCAAATCTTGCAAACGAGTTTTACACCGAGGATTCGGCCTCAACGACTACCAGCTGTTTCTCAATCTTAATATTCATCGATTCGAAGAGCTGGATCTTTGTCGAGCTACCCGACTCTCCGGATCCCGACATGTTGCAGTGCAGAAACCGAGAATCCATTTGTGGCGTCATGTTTTGTCGTGTGAGCCTGGTCCCTGAAGATGGCCGCGGGTGTTTCTTCTTGGAGAAGGCCTGTTTGATGCACTCCCGGAAGCTGTCGCCGACTATGGCGTACACGAAGGGGTTCATGGCGGAGTTCGAGTAGCTCAAGCACATCGCCACAAACTGGAGAGAAAACAAGAAAAAACACAAACACAAAAGGTCAACTGCAGTGACTTAGGAACCCCCCACGAAACCCATTTTTGGCCTTGACAATGGCCATCCCGAAGACAACCTGACTGCCAAAAATCGTGAACCATTCCTTCAAGAGTTATCGTGCATAATCTGCCAAACAGTGCCAAAACGATTTCATAGCCTTCTCGTCGAAGGCAAATAGGAATTTTCCGTTAACAGTTTCATCAGGTTGGTATTTCTAGTCACTGAGTAAAGAGACTCTTTTTACACAGCCAATACTTTTATTCAGCCGACGTTTCGGTGACCGTCTGTCACCTTCCTCATGTCAATTCTGACTGGTTCACATTGCACTGCAGCACTATATTTGCTTCTGTGTAGATATGTCAATATCTTACGTTTGGGAATACATCTATAGCAGCGACACCTTGGCAGGTTTGACTGTACCATAATTTATGTTATCACTCTTGCTTATTTGTGACCTCCCAGGCCACACGTCGACGCTCTAACCACTCAGCTAAAAGGTCTAGACCCATCGACCGGGTCTGTTGGTAGCGCCTATAAACCCCCTTTACTGCAGCACACCACGGCTGGCATAAAAATGCCATAATTTATGTAATCACTCTTACTTATATTTACCTTACTGTAGTACACCACGGCCGTCAGCTGTTTGTTGGAACTGCTGTGCCACCAGAGGTTGATGACGTGGTTCGGGAGCCAACACAGGGCGAACAGGACGATCACACCCAGGACCATGAAGGTGCTTTTCCTGGTCTAC